TTGTGTTGGACTTCAAAACAGCTGACAGACAGCACATGGGGTAATTTATTTTGCCCTTTCAGAAGATTCAGCCCACGTAGGCACAGGCAGGAAGCAGAGAGAAAGACTACTTACTGGCTGGCTTTCTCATTTCCCTTCTTTGATTTCATATGCCTGCACCATCCTTCCAAGTGACAAAACTGCTACATTCAGGGCAGGTCTTATCTCCCCAATTACATCATCACAGACACACCTTGAGGTGTGTTTTGTCAATATTCTAGGTGGTGTGTGTGTGTGTGTGTGTGTGTGTGTGTGTGTGTGTGTGTTGGGAGGTTAAAGACAGGGTTTCTCTGTATCCCTGGCTGTCCTGGACTTACTCTGTAGACCAGGCTGGCCTGGAACACACAGAGATCTGCCTGCCTCCACCTCCTGGAGTACTGGGATTACAGGCATGTGCCACCATACTGGCAGGTTTGTTTGTTTGTGGCAGGTTTGTTTGTTTGTTTGATATGCTTTGGTGTTTTGCCTGTTTCTGTGTCTGTTTGAGGGCTTCAGATTCCCTTAAAATAGAGTTACAGACAGTTATGAGCTGTCATGTCAGTGCTGGGGATTGAATACAGGTTCTTTGGAAGAGCAGCTAGTGAGTGCTCTTAAATGCTGATTCATCTCTCCAGCCCATCAAGGTGATTCTTAATCCAGTCATGTCAACCTCCAAGAGTAACCAGTATCGTAATGTTGAATAAAATGTACCAGGTTGAAAATTAAATACAGAATGACTGTTTACAGAGTTCACAAATAGAACCAGTCTTCTCTGTTAGATTGAGAGTGATGGGGATAGTGCCTGTGATGACAGGCACAGATAGGGCTTGACAGGCACTTGAAAACATAATGTTTTTGTTTTTGTTTTTGTTTCTTGGTTTTTCAAGACAGGGTTTCTCTTGTATAGCCTTGGCTGTCCTGAACTTATTTTCTAGACCAGGCTGGCCTCGACTCACAGTGATCAGCCTGCCTCTGTGTCCCTGAGTGCTGGGGTTAACAGGTGTGAGTCACCATGCCCGCCTGTGTTTTGTTTCTTAGGCTAAATAAAATGGCGGTCCATTCTTCAGCAAAATTTGAACCTCATGGCAAGTAATTTAAGTCATTTAAAAATAGTAAGTGAATAAATAAATTACAGAGGCAATATTGAAGCTTGTCTGAGTTGTAGAAAAGGAAATATGTCAAAATTAAACTATGAGTGGGATTTGATTGTGCTGTTTAGATTGCTAGGGACTTGCAGACAAATTTGATGGACACTAACAGTTATAGATTTGTGGAGTTTTCTTTATCTTAACTATAAAGCATTCATGACTGCAACCCTAGCCTAAGACTTTTACTGAATGTATATCTCATCTGTTTCTTACTGCATTCTTGACTTTTTTTTTTCTGTCTCCGTCTTGATTTGGTTTGTCTAGTTTATCCATTCTTATTTACCAGAGAGTGGTCATTTATAATTTATCAGTTTATTAAGGATTATCTTAGATGTTTCCTCTAAAAAAATCCTTGGAATTTTTTTTTCTTTGAAATTTTTATTTATGTGTACGTTTATTTGAGTATGTGGGAGTGCAGTTCATCAAGAAGCTGGGAGACGGTGTTCTTTAGAATTGGAGCTAGAGGCAGTTGTGCTACATGGGTGCTAGGAACTATACTTCTGGGAGAGCAACATTGTTCTTACCTGCTGAGCCATCTCTTCAGCCCTTCTTGGGATTTTTAAAAATACCTTTTCTCTCCTCTTCCATAATGACAATAGTGTATACCCAGTGTATCATGCATGCTATGTGAGCATTCTATATTGGCAACCTCATATTTTAAGTATTGATACTGGGGGCTATAGAGATGACTCAGTGGGCTGTGCAATCATAAGGACCTAAGTTCAGTCCCCAGCACCCGTGTAAAAAGCTGAGTGGGGAGGGGATGAGCTCCCGTCAGGTGGATCTTGAGAATTGCTGCCAGGTTAGTGCAGCTGAATCAGTGTGAAATGTTTCTCAAAAAATTAAGGTAAATAGCAACTAAGATGCCTAACACCAGTCTTTGGCTTCCATACACAAAGGTGCATGCTGTATGCTAATACACTCACAAAGCATTCATGTATAACACACACACACCAAAGATATTAAATATCTGTTGCTTGTGAACGTTACATCTAACATTATTCAAAGTCAAACAAGGCTAGGATAGCGCTTGCCCAATGTTCCACCAAGAAAAGTTTAAAAAAATCAATAGAAATAAAAATAAAAACATTTATTACATCATAAAAATAACATGTTACATTGTATATAATTTTTGAAAGTGAAACTTACAGGGAGAGAAACTTTTACATTTTCTTCAAATTTATTTTATGTCTGCCTTGGAAATCAGATTTCTTCTGTTTGTGTATGTTCTTGCTATTTGTCTGAGCTGAAGTTTGTATGGAAAATCAGGCCTCTCACAAGTGTGTATTTGGAAAGGGGAGGATTATTTTAATTGCCTTTCAGATTTTTGTGACTATTTCTTTCACATACACAAAAACTTTTGTGACAGTTTAAAAAAGATTAATTACAATATGAAACCCAAACTGTATCCATATTTTTTATTCTGACCCATTAAAATCCTTTGTTTTAGGGGCTGGAGACATAGCTCTGTATTGGGAGCACTAGCTGCTCTTCCAGAGGAGGACTCAGGTTCAATTCCCAGCACCCATATGGCAGTTCACAACTGTCTGTAACTCTAGTTTCAGGGTACATGACAGCCCTCAACAGACACACATGTAAGAAAACATCAATGCACATAAAATCATTAAAAAGTTTTTTTTGTTGTTGTTGTTGTTGTTGTTTTTTTTTTTTTTAATTAAAATAGGGCTGGGTGGTGGTATGCCTTTAGTCTCAACATTCAGGAGGCAGAGGCAGAGGCAGGCAGATCTGGAGTTTGAGGCCAGCCTGGTCTACAGAGTGAGTTCTAGGACAGCCAAGACTATACAAAGAAACCCTGTCTCCAAACATCATCATCATCATCATCATCATCAACATCATCAACATCAACAACATCAACATCAACATCATCATCATTCCTTTGCTCTAACTTGTACTTAGAATTACTCTTCTCCCTCTACCCCCCGGATGATTTTTAACATGCATGGTTCTCCTGTTACTTATGAAATCCTAGTTTACTCTGAAAAACACAGATCTTCCGAGTGTTGGTATGCTTCATTTAATGATATGAAAAGTCCTGTCTGTCTTGAAGTATGGTATGTTGGAACATGCCAGCACTTTGGGGTGGAAAGGTAAGAGATTCAGTGGTTTGCTAGTTCATGGCTAGGCTGGTATACAGTAGTCAGAAGACCCAGTTTTAAGATGAAAGAATGAGAGAATCAGCTATTACTAATAACATTCTAAAAAGTCCCTGTAAGTATTGGGCCCCATGATGGCAGATGAGCTTTCCAAAATTATTTTGCATTCATAAATTGACAGTTTTTTATATTGTTTTATTTGTATACCATATATTTGCCCGGAGGCTAGAAAAGATCAGGCATAGCTCTTGTAACTAAAAGTTACAGATGCTTGTGAACTGCCATGTGTATGTTGGGAATCAAACCCCAGTTTTATGGAAGAGCAGCTAATGTTTTTAACTTCTCAGCCATCTTTCCAGCCAATGCATCCTTGCAGGGTTCCAAGAATGGATCTGAGTTGGGTGGTGAAGGAAAGAAGAAAAGACAAACACAGACAGGGGTGGTCTGGGCTGGAGAAACCTCAACGTCTTGGAAGCTCAATGTGTATAATATAAATGAGTTGAACGGATCATTGCATGCATCTGAACAAGGAGACTTTGTTTGTTACACTCAGATAAACGAGGATGCAGCGTTCATGCTTGATTGCCAGACCAAGGAGACAGAATTAGGAAAGCTCGGTAGGGGCAGTCCTGTCGGGGAGTGGTGGGTAGTGGTGCTAAAAGCTATGGTGGACATTTTCTGCACACACTGTCAGCATTCAAGCTTAGACAAAGAGGGAAGGCTTTGCCCTTTCCCAGAGTCTGTCTGAGAGTAAGTCTGCCATTATCCCAGGAGCAGCATGGTCATGTCAACAGTACACACCCACTCAGGACTCACTCAAAGCTTCTTTTCCCATACCCAGTACATGTCAATTTTTAAGAAGTTCATTTTTGAAAAAATTTACCAAAGCCAAATAAGTAAAGTTTGTCACTTCTTTCAAAAAAAAAAAAAAAAGAAAAAAAGAAAAGAAAATGGTGACACATAGAACAAAGTTTCAATGTTCAGCCTATAAATGAGTAGCACTAGAGATTTTCCTTGCACTGGGGAGGCAGAGGCAGGCAGATTGCTGAGTTCAAGGCCAGCCTGGTGTACAAAGCTAGTCCAGGACAGCCAACGCTACACAGAGAAACCCTGTCTTGGAAAACCAAAAAAAAAAAAAAGATTTTTCATGAGCTGGCTATTGCCACATGTAGTGGTGGGTATTATAGATGTGCCTTTATTAAGTTAAATTTCAATGCCTCATTCAAGACCTTAGTGAATGCTAGTAGAAAAGACTAGAATGAAAGGATACAGTTGGAAGCCTCTACCTTTGTTCTCTCTGCCCATGATTTAACATTATTAATACAAATCACAGCCCAATAAAAATACAGTGACTATTATGTCTTGTTATTGTGAAAGTCATTTTTACTTTGGAGTTCACTGGAGTCCAGGAGAGGCTCTAAACCTATGGGTTTTGTCACAGTGAATGAGCAGTTTAATTATTAAGAGAATGCTTAGTGAGTTTACTCTATTTCCACCCCCCCACCCCCCCACCCCCCACAGGATTTCTCTGTATAGCCCTGGCAGTCTTGGAACTCACTTTGTAGACCTCGAACTCTAGAGATCCACCTGCCTCTGCGTCTCAAGTGCTGGGATTAAAAGCATGTGCCATCACTGCCTGGCTGTGAGTTTACTTTTTAATAAGGAAGACATTTTAAACATATTTGTGTCTTGTCTTTTAAAAATACATGTTTACTTTTAGGAATGTATCCTGTCGGGGATAATGTCAGTGAATGGAAAGAAGGTTCTTCACATGGACCAGAACCCTTACTATGGAGGAGAAAGTGCATCTATAACACCGCTGGAAGATGTAAGTCTCTGATTAGCAAATTTTACATGTTAGGATTACTTGTAAGGCTTCACTTTAGCTCTTTGAGATGGTTTCAGTTTTGGCTTATTACTATAATTTTTTTTGCCAGGGGCCGGGTTGAGACAAGGTCTCTCTCTACCCAGTCCTGGCTACCTTGGAACTCTCTGTATAGATTAGGCTGGCTTCAAGCTCACAGAACTCTACCTGCCTCCACTTCTAAAGAAGAGTTGAAAGAGTATTTTATTTCCAGTTTAGCAAAGTCTTCCATCTGAATCCAGCAGTTAACATTTTGGTGCATTTGATTTGATTTGACTTTTTTGTTACTGTTACTATGCTTTTTTTTTTTTTTTTTTTTTTTTTTTTTAAGGTCTATGTCACTAGACCTAGTTTTCTTAGGATTTTGAAAAGTTGGAAGTAATAAAGACACTGTGGCTCTTGACCTAAATGTTTAACTTCTATCTGTTAAAGATGATACTTTCTACATTATCATAATGTTACTACATTTATGAAAATGAACAATATTTATACTATCTTTAGATTTCTAGTAATTCAGAGAGTGCTTTTTAGCTCTTAGGTAGACTTCTGTTTTTATTTTTTATTTTTTTAAAGATTTATTTATTTATTATGTATACAATGTTCTGTCTTCGTGTAGACCTGCACACCAGAAGAGGGCACCAGATCTCATTATGGATGGTTATGAGCCACCATGTGGTTGCTGGGAATTGAACTCATGACCTCTGCAGTAGCAGCTAGTGTTTTCAACCTCTGAGCCATCTCCCAGCCCAACCTTCCATTTTTAAAACCAGGATTAACTAAGGGTTTAAGCATTGTATATGTGTTTCTTCTCTGTTCTCTTAATCTGTAAGTCTCACCATCTTTCCTCTCTCCTTTTTTTTTTAATCCTTTGGAGAAGTACAGGCTACTAGTTTTAAAGAAATTGTTGATTACATCATACTGTATTATGCTGGGAAGCACTCATTGGAGGTGAATGTGTGCTGAGTATTGTTTGGTTACGTAATCATTTGTTCATCCTATGTTCATACTCACCAAAGTATACATTAAGTGTGTGCAATTTTTATATGTCAGTTGTATTTCAGTAAAGCCTCAGAACAAGTTAAAAGGAACTAGTTTTAACTATCTAGTTTTGAAGTGTTTAACATTTATTTTTTTAACTTGTGTAGCTAGAGAAGCAAAATTAGAGGGAATGAGTTTATATGACTCTGTAATAAGTTCTGCAATGCTTATCTTAGCATTCATGAGTTAAATGCTGTATTTAATTACATTATATATTGAGACCTAAAAGCCTTATTTGATTAAAGAAAAGTATCTGACAGGTAAAGCTTTATTATTGACTAAAAATACGGAGCCTTGTACTCTACCTCTTGTGTTATAGCACAACCTCTCAATCTAAAAATTGTTGATGATAATTTTTGATGAAAGTTACATTTTGTTACATTATTGATATTTTTGTTCTGCTTTTAGTTATACAAAAGGTTTAAATTACCAGGACAACCACCAGCATCAATGGGGAGAGGAAGAGACTGGAATGTTGACTTAATTCCCAAGTTCCTTATGGCCAATGGTAAAGAATTCTAACATAAATTATGACTGTCTACTGAATCTGATTTGGAAGTCTGAGGCCCTGGAGTTTGTTTATGTTAACAGTGTGTTTAGTAATATGTTCCATCAAAAGTGTCCGGAGTCAAATTAAGAATGGAGGGAAGGGGATATAGTAAATAGCTCTGGAAAGAATATAACAACATTGTAAATATTTGTAGCAGACTTTCTTCTTAATGCTTAGGTGATGATTTAGCTAAAACTGAGTCTTACATGGTCATTTAAAGGGTTTCTAGTTTGTAAGCTTTGAGATTACCTTTTCGTATTAAATTTCTCAGTATTTAGAGAACTAAAATAGCTTGTAAAATTTCTGTGGTATCTGTATTTTTTTCTAAGATAGTATTGAAAAGTGAGCCAGGTGCAGTGGTGTACACCGTTAATCCCAGCCCTTGGGAAGCTGAGACAGGAAGATTGTGAAGTAAGCCTGTGCTACAACTGAAATTTAGGTCAATCAAGTCTCACAGTGTGAGGCCCTGTCTTGTTGGGGGGTGGGGGAGAGGAATAAAACAAGGAAAAACTAAATTTTTTTGTTACAAATATATTTTCCATGAAATAAAGTTTGTGCTGCTTTTTCTGAGTTTATGTTTTATAGTTTGTATTAATAGATAGAGACGTTATTTGAATAGTCTTTTAAGTTTATATAATAATGGAATTCTTCTGGGGTAAATTGTCAACAAGTTTGTGTAATCCAGGTAACATTAACAGTAAGTAGAAATGAAACAAAACTTACATAGTTAGAATCTCAATGTCCAGATTTTATTCAGCTGTGCTAGGGATTGAACCACCATTTAGATTTACTTATGCCTAACATTTTGATTATACGACATACACACACACATATACATACACATACATGTATATATGTATGTGTTGTGTGTATGTGTCTCAGTTAACATGTAGTTTTCAGCCTATTATAGTGTATATGTAGGGAGTGTGATAAAGAGGGAGGGAGGGAAGGAATGTGTAAGAGCTGATTATAGATACCATTGTATATTAGAGAATTGTGGATCCTTTTCAGAAGACCTTTCCTATTTATTGCTACATTTGGATTTTGCCTTTCCCAGTACCTTTACCCAGTACCTTTGGGTAGTGTTAATTTTTGCTTCTGCCATTTTGTCATTGAAAAGTAAAATTTAGATTTTAAAATAAATCTCTCTATTTAGAGGGTGGGATAGTTTTATTTAATTTAGCAGCTTTCCTGTTTTGTTTTGTTTTTTCTTTTTTTGAGGCTGAGTTTCTCTGTGTAGCCTTGGATGTCCTGGTCTTGCTTTGTAGACCAGGCTGGCCTCGAACTTACAGAGATCCGCCTGCCTCTGCCTCCCAGAGTGCTGAGATTACAGCGTTGAGCCACCTCTTCCAGCTAAGCTTTCCAGTTGATTGTTGTTGGTGAGTCGGCCAGTTGTGCTTGGCATTATTGTATTAAGTTGTATTTGCCTTGCAATGAACTCTTTACAGGTTGTTGCCCCTCTGAAGACACAAGAACAACCCTCTAAGTGTGACTTTGCTGCACAGCTCCTCTGTGTGTTTTCTGTACAAAATAGTCATTGATCTTTTCCATTTGTTTTTGATTGTGATGCTCTCTGTACTTAATATGCTTACTGTTTTTGTTTGTTTGTTTGTCGAGACAGGGTTTCTGTGTATAGCCTTGACTATCCTGGAACTCACTCTGTAGACTGACTCAACAATAAACAGGAAAACTCAGCCAGGAGTGGTGCTGCACGCATGTAATCCCAGCACTCTGGGAGGCAGAGGCAGGTGGATTTCTCTAAGTTCAAGGACAGCCAGTGTCTTGTTTTTAACAAGAAACCCCGTCTTGTTAAAAAACAAAACAAAACAAAACAAAACAAAAAAAACCCAAGCACCTCCCTTGGCCTCCCAAGCGCTGGTATTAAAGGTGTGAGCTACCACTGCCTGGTTACTATTTTCTTTTTACCACAAGATTATAAGAATATCAGGTTTGTTTGTTTTTTTATAGTGTCACTTTATTTCCATGTAAGTTTGCTTGTTTTACCATATAAATACATCAATCTTTTATATGAAGTTCACCTTTTATCTTGTTTGAAAAGTTACCTTTAAAGAGGCCTGTCAGTTGGCATTCAGTCCACTTATTTTTTTCCGTGTTGATTTGAATTTTTATCCTATTGAATTCTTTATGCTTTGTCATGGTTTGCAACATGGTCTTCTGTGTAGCCCAGGTGGCACAAAACACTGGGTCTTCTTCCTCAGTCTTCCAATTGCTGAGCCATATCCAGCTGTATTCAATTAATTTTTTTAAGATTTATTTATTTATTTTATGTATATGAGTGCTTCGTTTTCATGCACACCAGAAGAGGCAATCAAATTCCATTGCAACCATGTGGTTGCTGGGAATTGAACTCAGGACCTCTGAAAGAGCATCATTGAGTCATCTCTCTGGCCCCTGTATTCAATTCTTAAATCATGAGTCTTAATATTGGGGCCAGTGGATAGAAAATTTCAGTGTATATAATCTCTGCTGCATGAGTATCTCCTCATACTTTATTTCTTAAATATTTTGTTTTTAGTTTTGGAGTTTGAATACAGGGTGTCATACATGCTAGATTCTTCAACTGAGTTATGTCCCCAGCCCTAACTTAAAGGAAAGATGTGACCACCGTGTTGTATTTGTCCTTTCACATCAACTTTAAAATGGTTTTGGTCTCACAGGTTTGCTGACTTGGCATGTGAGCCTCCTTAGGCGTATAGATGGATGATATTCTTAATTGCAGTCCTTACTCTGCTGAAGTTGATATTCTCTAATAAACATAAGTTGACTTAGAAATTGAAATACTTGGAATTGTCTATGTCTGATTCAGAATAGAACTGTAAAGTTGCCTGAATTCATGCAGTAAAACAGATCTCTTATCACTGCTAGCAAATATTTCATGGCCTTTGGACATCCAAGTCGATGAGATTCACTAGCCTACAAGTTGTAACATTGAGCTTAAACATGCGCGTAAGGCGTGTATTCTAGCCCACCACTCTGGTTGGCTAACAGTTGTTGAACTCCTGCTCATTTTTAATGGTAGTAAGGCTTGAGTGACAGCTTTTGTTACGTGACTTTTCTAGGTCAGTTGGTGAAGATGCTGCTTTACACAGAGGTCACTCGCTATATGGATTTCAAAGTGATTGAAGGGAGTTTTGTCTATAAGGGAGGAAAAATCTACAAGGTTCCTTCCACTGAAGCAGAAGCCCTGGCATCTAGTAAGTAATTCTCATTTTATTTATGAGAATGATGAGGTTTTATGGTGAAAAGGAATCTCAGAAATCCATTTATTTAGTCAACAAACAGTTATTGAGTATCTGCCAGACACTGTTTTAGGCACTTAGACACACATCAGTTACTTTAATGTTCTGTTCAATTAGGAGAGGAGGGGAAAGGATATGAAGCTGGTGTTCTCATCTTTATCTTAATACCTGTTCTGTGTTATTAGTAACACTGACATTAGGAACACTGACCCATAGAGCTCAGAGTTTGCATAGAGCTCACCCCAGCAGCTTCCCCCTGCCCCGTGTGTTTGTGTGTATGTACACATGCTCATACCATACCTTTTTAAAAATTATTAATTATATTTTAGACAAGGTTTTACTCTGTAGCTCTGGCTGCCCTAGAACTAGATCAGGAATTCGCAGAGATCCACCTGCCTTTAAATTTAAGTGTTGATATTAAAGCCATGTGTCACCACAGCCAGTGTATTTTTTTAAAGATATATTATTTTTACTTTGTGTGGTTATTTGCCCTTATATGTGTGTGTGCACCACATGCATGTCTAGTGCCCATAGGGGCTAGAAGGAGGCATTAGATCCCCATGGGACTAGAGTTATAAATGGTTGTGAGACACCATGCGGATGCTGGGAACTGAACCTGGATCCTTTGCAAGAGCAGCAAGTGCTCCTAACTGCCAAGGCATCTCTCCAGCCCTGCTTATAGCTGTGTTTTTAAAGAAGTATGTAGAGCAGTGCACTGATTGTTTATGATTTCATGAAGTAAGTGACCTCCAGTGAAGTCACATCTAAATTAAGTTGTGGCTAATTCTTCCCTGGTGTCTTGGTCTCTTCCCATTAGGTCTAAGAGTATGTTGAGGCATTCAGAAGAGGGAAATGAACAACATTCATAATTTTGGGAGCTGGCTGAGATACAGATCAGCATTGTTAGAGGAAGAACATTGGTATAGATGCCTTTGAAGCAGTTTTTTTCAAAGTTGTATTTATTTTGTGCCTAATAAGATACAGAATCCTACTTCTCTGTAAATATGTTCTAGTTACCTGAAGTTGTATTGTGAAATTGAATACTTTATGAATAATCTGTTTTAAAGTGTTGTCCCTGGAAACCCTGTTCTCTAGATTCCATGTTATATAAATTGTACTTTTTGAATCATGACATTCATGTTTAAAGTGTCCTCTCATATTTTTTTTCCTCAGTATCCTATTCTGAGTATGTACTTTTTGAAAAAATATTTTTCAGGTTTAATGGGACTGTTTGAGAAACGCCGCTTCAGGAAGTTCCTAGTTTATGTTGCCAACTTTGATGAAAAAGATCCTAGAACTTTTGAGGGTGTTGATCCTAAGAAGACCTCCATGAGAGAAGTATATAAGAAGTTTGATTTGGGCCAAGATGTTATAGACTTTACTGGCCATTCTCTTGCATTGTACAGAACAGATGAGTAAGTAGGCCAATGATTTTCAACGGATTGGCTTGGCAAAGGCTGTGAAATATTTGCTAGCAGTGATAGGAGGTCCTTTTTACTAAGTGGATTTAGGCAGCTTTGAGGTTTCTATAGTATGTTATAGACATATATTAGAGTATCAACAACACTTGAGGATTCCAGTCAGAAAGATGTGGGTTTTAGATTTTTTTTTCTTTTTTTTTTTTCCTTGAAACTCTCACCTGAATCTTCCATTTTCCAATTGTGAGACTTAGGACTTGTGTGTTGCTGTCTGGCCCTGTGAAAATTAGTTGCAAATTAGTGTTAGAGTATTTTAGGAAAAATTAGAGGGTATTTATTTGTTAGAAATTACTTCAGAAAAAGGGTTTAAAATTAATAAGAAAGAAACACTCTTTTTTTCTGATGTTCATTTACTTTTTCCCAGCTATTTAGATCAGCCGTGTTGTGAAACCATCAATAGAATTAAGCTTTACAGTGAATCTTTGGCAAGATATGGTAAAAGCCCATACCTTTACCCACTCTATGGCCTGGGAGAACTGCCACAAGGATTTGCAAGGTAAGTTCCTGTTTAATCCATTAGCTGTAGCCCTATGGATCTTAGTTTTCCTTCCCTGGCAAAGTTGCTGTAGATCATAATTAGTCCCCTCCCATAGAAAAAGATAGTCTGTGCTCATTCACCTCTGCCGCCTTCTTTTTTTTTTTTTTTTTTTTTTTTTTTGCTTACCTGTGTTTATGAGCTCCCTTTAGGTTGGTGCATGGGCTGAGGATCCATTACACTGAGAGCCATGGTATTATGTCAATTGCATGGCTGTCCCACATTCTTTGGTGGGATGTCTAGATTTCCAGTTTGGGGCTATTATGAATGAAGGTATTATGAGACAGTTTGTGTATATATGATATTGCTGACTAATGTGGAACGTATACTTTTAAAAGTAATAAACTGCGGTTCTTCTGAGCATTTGTGCCATTTTTATACACTCAGTAATGAGAGTTCTATTCCATACTTACTTGGTACTGTTTATTGACTTTATTACATTTATTGTATACGGATGTGTACTCATGTATATGTGGATGGATGTCAGTTCTTTCCTACTGACTGGATCCTATGGATTGAATTTGGATGTTAGGTATAGCAAGTGTCTTTATCATTTTGTTGGTTTGCTTATTTATTTACTTACTTTTTGGTGTTTTGAGACAAAGTCTCTCTATGTAGCCCTGGCTGTCATGGAACTTAGTTTGTGGTCCAAGGTGGGTTTGAGCCCTTAGAGATGTGCCTTCATCCGTCTATCAAGTTCTGGGATTAAAGGCATGTGCTACTGCTCCTCATTTTATCTTTATTTTTAATATACTTTTTGTCCAGTAGTGGAGATTGGACCTATGTTACAACACCTAAGTGGGTGGGATATATTGAATCATTTAGTTTCAAAAGAGAAAAGTTAATGCTTGTGTGTGTGCACATATATCTTCTCTTTGGAGCAGAAGACAGCTTGCTAGACTCTGATCTCTCCTTCCACCATGTGGGCTTAAGGGATCAGACCTGGTCATCAGGCTTGCCTGCAAACAGTTTTTCCCCACAGAGGCAGCTGAGTTATCTCACTGGCCCTCGTTATAGCTTGAATTTGCTTGTCTAGAAAATAATTATTTACCACCTTTTCATGAGCTGTTTGTAATTTTGTTCTGTGATTGTCTTTTGCATAGTTGTAAAGATTTGGGTTTTTGATTTGTGGGTCATCTTGATGTATCTGGTCAGACCTAATGTTATTATGAATTATTACCAGTTGGTGGTTTGTCTCTTAGAAGAAGTTTTAAATTCTATAAAGTCCAATATGTCAGACTTATTATTTTACCTGTGTTTAATGCATTTTGGGAATTATGACATACTTGCTTAGCCTTAGTGCACAAAGAGAAATTAACTGTTATGACTCTATTATTATATTAATTATATTATAATTCCCCTTGAAATAATGTTGATGTATAAGTAAAGTAGGGATGCCCCTAATCTATGTTATTTAGTTGTCTCGCTGCATATGTATGTGTGTGTGCGCGCGCGCGTGCGTGTGCAGGTAGGTGTGCATGCACGTGTCCCCTTACATATGTGTGTTTTCCCCATGGTCTTAATGCCTTTGTAGTGAAATGAGTTAGCCATGACATATTTAGGTCTAGTTTGGAGGCTGATTTTTGTTCAAGTTATATTTTTCCCATGCCTTTACCACATTGCCCTGCTTATTATAATTTTGTAATTAATTCTTAAACGTCAGGTGGTGTATATCTTCAGAATTTATCTTAGCTGTTGTAGGTTCTTTATTGTCTCTTGGAATGAGGTTGGCAAATTCTAGAGTCACTTGGTAGGTTTTTAGTGGACTTGAGTTGTCTGTAGGTCAGTTTGTGAGATATTTCCATCGTACTAATGCTGAGTCCTGATCCACACCTGTGTTTAAGTTTTGTCTCCATAATATTTTTGTTTCACTTTGTTCAGATTTATTTAAAAGTATTTTGTCTGTTTTAATTTAATTTTATTTTTGAGACAGGGTTTCTCTGTGTAGCCTTGGCTATCCTTGGATTCACTTTGTAGATCAGGCTGCTCTTGAATTCAGAGATCTGTCTGTCTCTACCTCCTCGAGTGATGGGTTTACAGGTGTGTGCCACCGTACCCGGCAAGTATTTTATCTTGATACTGCTGTTAATTCTTTATTTTGAAATTGTTTGCTTTAACGTATATAATGTACAATTAATTTTTGTATGTTGACCTTGCTGTGCTTATAAGTTTTACTAGTTCAGTTGTTTTGATAGACTTAGCAGAATTTTCCATGGACACAGCTGGGTCAGGTGTGAGTAGAGGGAGATTAGATTTTTCCTTTAAAATTTGTATGTGTTGTGTCCCCTTTCCACATTTGCTTTCATTGCACTGGCTAGGACTAGAAAAAATGTTAAACTGGCAGGAACATTGTCTTGTTCCCTGTCTTCGAGAGAATACTAAACTAGGCATGGTGGCGCAGGCCTGTGATCTCAGCACTCAGGGAGGTGAGGCAGGCATATCTCTGTGAGACAAGCCTGGTCTACAAAGTGAGTCCAGGACTGCCAAGACTACACAGAGAAACCCTGTCTTGAAAGAAAGAAAAATAATAAAGAAAGAAGCAAGGAAGAAGGAAAGAAGAGAGGGAAAGAAAGAAAGAAAATTAAGTATTTTTATTAAATGCTTTCTTCTTTTTTCCAAAATAGTTGTTTGATGAATAGTTTTGTGATGAATAGTTTTACGACATGAAATTCTCTTCTCATCATAGTTTGATAATTTCATAATTTCAGTTGACAATGAGTTTTTCATGCAGGATTTCATTTTTTGGTTTTTTGAGACAGGGTTTCTTTCTAACAGCCTTAGCTGTCCTGTCACAGAGACCCACCTGCCTCTGCCTTTAATCCTGAGTGCCAGGATTAAAGGAGTGAACCACCACCTGGCAGCAGGTTTCTTTTGAATGCTGTTAATCTGCTGAATCACATAGAATTGAATTTTGGAGCTGGGTGTGGTGGCACATAGCTAATCTACATCCCATGCTATCTTTTGTTTATTTGAAAATATTTTAACTTCATTTTGGAGGACTTGGCTGTTTCTAGTTTATTTTCATTTAGTATATCGCAACTAGCATCCCCTATTTCTGGTTTTGGCTTGAATGAGAAGGTGGTTGTCCCTAATCCCAAGAATTCTGTCTTTGGGTATTGTAAGGTATTTTTTCTTCTGTCAGTGATACAGCTTTCAGGATTTTCTTCAGTTTCTAACAGTCATCTTGTTTGGATATTTGGATTACTTTTAAAAGAGCCAAATTCAGAATCTTAGGTCATTATTTCTTGAGCTATTTGTTCACGTTTTCCTCCTTATTGGAGCACCAGTCTCTTGTATGTTAGATCCTTAGTGTTGCGCTGTTTCCTGAGTTAAAGAGGCTCTTTTACAATTTTTTTTCTTTCTCATTTTGGGTGATATATGTTTATTTGTTATAAATCCCATTACTAGCCAGGCACAGTGCCACACACCTATAATCCCAGCCCTCTGGGAGGCAGAGGCAAGTGGATCTTTGTGAGTTTGAGGCTAGCCTGGTCTACAAAGCGAGTTCAGGACAGCCAAGGCTACACAGAGAGACCCTATCTTGGGGGGGGGGGGTTCCCATCACTCCTTCTGCCTCCTTTTTCTATGTAATACTGGAAATTGATCCCAAGGCTAACTGTATGTTAGGCAAGATTTCTACCATTTCCTTTTTTGTGTGTAGTTAAATCTTTATTTTTCATATGAAACCAAAGAATGAGGCATTTTACTCTGCCTCCCATTATTTTCCCTTGTTCTTTCCTCAACCTTTCAGTCTTCTTCCTCTACATAGACCCCCTTCTGCTTCTATGTCATACATGTACATGTGTATATATATATTTATTAATTTATAAATATATAAATACTTATTCAGATCTAAGTCATGTATTTTAGGGGAAATGTTATTTAAGTCTATTTTGCTTAACATGATTTCCAGATTCATCCATTTTTTAAATAATTGATATGGTTTCATTTCTGTTTGTACTGGGTCACCCCCTCCCTCATACTTTCATGTACTTTTGGGGGGAGGGGTGTTCAGCTTATACTTGCATATCGCTGTTCATCATCAAAGAAGTCAGGATGGGAACTCAAACAGGGCAGGAGTTGATGAAGAGGCCATGAAGAGATGCTGCTTACTGGTTTGCTCTCTTGGCTTTGCTCATCCTGCTGTCTTATAGAACCCAGGACTACAGCCCAGGGTTAGCACCACCCACCATGGGCTGGGCCCTCCCTGATAAATCACTAATTAAGAAAATGCCTTACAGCTACCTCTTACGGAGGCTTTGCGACAATTAAGGATCCCTCTGATGACTCTGGCTTGTGTCTCGTTGACATAAAATTATCTAGGACATAGTGTTTTCAGATTCTGAGAATTAGACTAGTGACCTCACCCACTCTATACTATCAGTGGTTCTCAGGACTTTCAGCTTTCCTGGATATACTGCCCACTGAATTCTAAAAACATTTCTCCTGCTATCCATCTTTCTAGCCAGCCTCTGCCTATCTTCTCTCCTCTTCTGCTTCTCTAGAGAGCTATCTACAGATGTAGCATAGTGAGAAATGCATTGCATTGGTTTTAAAGTTCAAGGTCAGTTTGTAAACCTTAAGATAGTTAATGAATATGCAATCTCTTTCCTCCTCTCTCATACTTTCATGTCTTGTTTGTGGTCCAGTGCCTTTAATTACTATAATTACTATAATTCATTTAGATTTAAGAAGGGATATTTTAACAATTCATATAATTTGTGAATTATAATTGATAAAATTTTTTTTAGGTTAAGTGCTATTTATGGAGGTACCTACATGTTGAATAAGCCAATTGAAGAAATCATTGTGCAAAATGGAAAAGTAGTTGGCGTAAAATCTGAAGGAGAGGTAAGTATTGTGAAGAAAATGTACTGTCTGCTAAATAATGTTTTGTGGACACTGATATTGCTTCTAGTATACACACACTTAGACACACTGATTGTTTAAAGTTTTTTATTACAGTTTTTTTTTCTCCCTCCTTCCTTTTCTTTTTCCCTTCAAACAGCTGTGTTCTTTCAGGAAGCTTCAGGGTTTTCATAGGAAACAGAAGTGGCTGTTGTGCATCTAAGCCTTAAGATGATGGCATCATCTGTTTAGAGTGCTATACCATATACCGATTGTTTATCTTCTGCTAGGACACATGACAGTCTAACAGCAATCTCTTGAAGTCAGAATAGAGCCAGGATTTGAGTTACTTCTGAATACCTTGCAGTTGCCCAAGGAAAACTTAGATTGACTATTAGCAAAGCTAGTTTAAATGGTTACCTGTAGTTAAATAATTATGAACTTATTAAGTTATAAAGATAATAAATACAATTGTTGGTAGTTTGAAGATTTTCTTGGTGGTGCTTTGGGTAGAATCTAGGGCCTTAAGACTTTGTAGGCACAGCCCAAAACACTGTTTTGTTTTGTTTTTAAACCACTATAAACACCTAATATTATAAATTACTCTTCCCCAAGTAGAGTGATCACTTTGAGTGATGCTCCTAGTAGCATTCTTGTGAAAAATAATTATTTTCAAGACCTTGCCTTCAGTTGTTTTGGTTAGAGGTTAAGTTGCTGGATTGAAAAATAATTTTATTTTTTTTAGAAATTGCTGTACTATGACATCAGCCATACTATTTACATTCTCACGAGGAGTACCCATATCCTACTATCACTTTCTGTTTTGGTAATGGCCATCCTAGTGTAGGGGTCCTGTGGTTATGATTTACACATCACTGTATGATGTGCTACTTGGCCATTTGTAAAGCTTCTCTGGAGTATTGTCAATTTAAATTCTGTTTGTTTGAGACAGAATTTCTTTGTATAGCTCTGGCTGTCCTGGAATTTGCTCTGTAGATTAGGCTAGCCTCAAACTCAAGAGATCCACCTGCTGCTGCCTCCTGAATACTGGGATTAAAGACATGGTACCACTGTCTCTTTGCCCATTTTTGATTCAGGTCTTCTTTTAAATTGCAAAATTTTTGCAGTTCTTGATATGCTTTGCCTATTAATCCCTTATCACATTATTTGCAAACATTTCTTGTCATTGTATGTTTTCTTTCCCTTTAATCAAATTAAAAGTTTAATATCTACATACAAATTATAACTTCTCATAGTCCAATTTATGAGTCTTCAGTGTATTAAAAAATCACTACCATATTATTATGAAGCTTTTTCCTTACATCGTTTTGTTTTTCGAGACAGGGTTTCTCTGTGTAGTCCTGGCTATCCTGGAACTTACTCTATAGACCAGGCTGACTCAAATTCAGAGATCTGCCTGCCTTTCTGCCTTCTGCATGTCGGGATTAAAAGCTTATGCCAGCACTGCCTGGGCATGTCTTTTTTCCTTAAGAATTTTTATAATTTGGATTCTTTGTTTTTTCAAGACAGGATTTTCCTGTGTAACCTTGGCTGTCTTGAACTCTGTGTAACCAGGCTGTCTTCGAACTCACAAAGATCTGCCTGCCTCTGCCTTCCTGAGTGCTGGGATTACAATCATGTGCCGCCCCACCGGCTAATTTTAGTTATTTTTATATGGTTTTAGGTAAGTTTTAACTTTTTTTCTTTAACACATAGATACAGTTTTACCAGCACAGTGGTTTTTTTCTGCGTTTTTGATAGTGTCATGCAGGTAGCCCTGGATGACCAAAACTTTAAGCAAGTTCCCCTCAAAGTTTTGATTCTACTTTTGCATATAAGTAATGAAAAATTTCAGCTGGGATCCACAAGTTTTTAAGATTTTCTTTATCCCATAATTGGTTTGTCCAGAATCATTTGAAATTATGACTATTTATTTCTGACTTCTCTTCTCTGTTCCTTTGACCTCCATATCTGTCTTTCTGCCAGTAGCAGGTACCACACTGTATTGACTGCTGTGGTCTGTAAGGGCACCTTCTATGTTCTTTTTTCAAGATTGTTTTAGTTATTATATAGTCTTTTGGATTCAATATACATTTTAGGCTTGATTTAGAGAGCTGCTTAACCTTCCAATACATGAATTTGGGACATATTGCCATGTTTCCATATCTTTTTTTTTTTTTTTCTTATTTATTCACACTATGTTTTTTGTTTTAATTTTTGTTTTTTGAGACAGGGTTTTTCTGTGTAGCCTTGGCTGTCCTGGATTTGTAGACCAGGCTGGTCTGGAACTCAGAGAGATCTGCCTGCCTCTGTCTCCCTGAGTGCTAGGATTATAGGCGTGCCTCACTACGCCCGCCTCCCATGACTTCTTTATAATGACCCTTTAAATGTTTTGTCCTATAGATTGCTCGCTGTAAGCAGCTCATCTGTGATCCCAGCTATGTAAAGGATCGGGTTGAAAAAGTGGGCCAAGTAATCAGAGTGATCTGTATCCTTAGCCACCCTATCAAGAATACCAATGATGCCAACTCTTGCCAGATCATCATTCCACAGAACCAAGTCAACCGCAAGTCAGGTGAGTTTCAAAGAACAGCAGATAAGGGTAGAAATTTGTTACCGTTCGTAGTGTTTTCACCAAGATTCCTGCCTTTACTCCATACTAAAGAGACTTTTGTGTACTGAAAATTTTGGAATTTCTTTTTTTTAAATCATGAAAGTATTATAAGAATGTGCTTTTGTTGTAATCCCAGGTATAGGGATATGGGTCAGCTTTGGCCTGTCCACAGCAGCTGACCATGGTTGCCTTGTGTTCCAGTAGAGGCATAGTTTTGCCAGTTGCGGATAGTTCCTGCCATTGTGGAATTCTGGGAACTTTTTAGAGGGTATATAAATACTAGAGTTCCAATAGGCGAGGTGGATGGTTGTTGGTCATCTAGGGAGGTTGTTTTTGGTTTGCTAGTAGTAGTCAAAGAACAAGCAAAAGGAAAGAAATTAGATTCCGGGATTTTTCTATTTCCTTTCTTTGTCTCTCCTATTTAGTGTTAGGGGGTGGAATTGGGGATAAAGGGTGGGGCAAAAGAAGGACCCACAAAGTAGGACTTTTGTATGGAAAGCAGACCTGGGAAGCCAGATGTGGTCCTTTTAGAGACAATGCACTGAAGTGATCTCAGCCTTGTATTCATTGCCTTGGACCTTGGGTTCATATCTTCCAGCTTCCAGCTTTCATTTGTTAGTTCAACTGATATCACTGTTTTAGCTAATTCTGTGTCATTGTGGTTTTAATGATTATATTTGTTTTAGCAATGTGCTAAAAAAGAATATTTGTTTCTTTGATTCAAGTCAGGACTTTATCTAAAATTTCAATTCCAGTTTTGATACAAGCAGTGATTTTTCAACACAAGGTGTTTATATTTTGGTTGGAAGCAACCACACATCAGATTTCACAAAGGAGTTTTTGATGTGATTTTTTTTCTCTTCCTTACAGAAACCACACTACAGAACATTTTCTGTAAAACAAAAACGATACACATTTTTTGAGTGATTCTCAAGCATATTCTTAGACCTTTAAAATTTCAAAAATTATTTCTACATTTGAAATTTTACTTAGAATAGTGGTAAATTCATTGAATCTAGTGTCATGAATTGTATTAGCTTATCTCAACACAAAATAGTTATAGTAATTGGTAAGTATTAATTTTTCAATAAGCAAATGAGGAAATCAGTACATGGGCCAGGTGGTAAGCACTTTAAACCCACTTGGGAGGCAGAGGCAGGTGGGTCTCTGAGTTCAAAGCTAGACTGATCTACAGAGCAAGTTCCAGGACAGCCAGGGCTGTACAGAGAAACCAACCAGTCAGTCAGTCAATCAGGAAATCCCTTTAGCTGTTCAAAACCTTTCTAAATGCAGGCTCTAGAGTGGCAGAAAATCACCTTAAGTTTTTTTTTTTTTCTCTATGTGTGTGTCTGTTTGGCCTTGAACTCATTATGTAGACCACCACATCTAGTTAATGATTATTTAGATTTGATTTGAGCCCTGTCTTGTGCAGAGTTCATCTCCAGGTTTAGCAGTTCACAGCTACATATATCCTCAGTCTCTTAAGGTTTTAGTGAGCTTTTTCAGTGAGAAAACCACCCTGAAGGAGGATAGATTTTTGCCTCATGTTTTCAGTATGGTCATTTGAGTCACTTGTGTTGAAGGCAGGCAGAATATCATGGCAGTGGGAGTATGTGGCAACAAAGTCTGCTTACCTATGGGAACTAGGAAAGTAAAGACAGCAAGCTAGGGTCTCAGGCATAAACTTATATTCTTCAAAGAGGTGCCCACAGTGACTGACTTCTTTCTGTTGGAGTGGTTCTCAACATGAGGGTCGTGACCCCTTTGAGGGTTGAAGGGCCCTTTCACAGGGCTGACAGATATTTTTGCATTATATTCGTAACAGTGCAAAAATTAGTTATGTAGTAACAACAAAAATAATTTTGTGTTTGGGAGTCACCACAACATTAGGAAATGTATTAAAGGGTTGCAGCATTAGGAAGTTTGAGAATCAACTTGTGCTAGAATCTATTCTGTAACAGCCTGCTCAGTTCTGAACTCATGGGTTGATGAGATAGGAACTTTCATGATACAGTCATTTGTCAAGACCACCACCAGCAGAGGGGCAATCCTTCAGAGTATGAGTCTGTTTGGGGTGACATTTTATATCCAAACTGTGAGGTAGTTAAGAGAAATTTCAGCTACCAAGACTTAAGTAATTTAAATTTATAATGAAACCATGTGATTGAGTGCACTTGTGCGCAAAGTTTATAAATCTCAGGGTATGTTGTTTCCTTCTAGATATCTATGTTTGCATGATCTCCTTTGCACATAATGTGGCAGCACAGGGCAAGTATATTGCCATTGTAAGTACAACTGTGGAGACCAAGGAGCCAGAGAAAGAAATCAGACCAGCTTTGGAGCTCTTGGAGCCAATTGAACAAAAGTGAGTGTTGTGCTCATTCATGTCAACTAAAATAAAAACTGAGGTGTTCGTAACTGTTGCATTGTCAGGTACTTCTGAGAATAAGGCAGGCCAACCATTGGCTGCTGTGAATCTTTAGATGGCCTCACCCCATCAGTCTTATGCTTAGAAATTAAGGCAAAGCAGCAATACTGATTTGTGTTCTCCCTATACAGATTTGTGAGCATCAGTGACCTCTTTGTACCTAAAGATTTGGGAACAGAAAGCCAGGTGAGTGTGATGATCTGAAAAGGATGTTACTAGTCTTTATGGGGGAACATCCCTAAGTAGTCTGAAGCCTGTATTATAATTCTCACTTCCAGATCTTTATTTCCCGTGCCTATGATGCTACCACTCACTTTGAGACAACCTGTGATGACATTAAAGATATCTATAAGAGGATGACAGGATCTGAGTTTGACTTTGAAGAAATGAAGCGCAAGAAGAATGACATTTATGGAGAAGACTAACAGCAGTACATATTATGCAATTAGGACAAACTCAAAAATTTGGCAAATAATGTGTATTGTATGAAATCAATATTGTAAGCCCTGCTTTTATGATCAAAATGGAGATTGAAGAGTGCTATACCAGTGAATACTCCTTCCCTTCACTTTTCTAATATCATGTATTAACTTGTTTTCATGGAATGGCTAGTCAGAATTGGTTGGCTCTGTTCAGTTTAACCAGGCTGGAATTTTTTTCTAGTGGAGGAGCTTTTCTAAGCAAATATTGGTATCGATAGAGAACTTGATACAATACTTGTATCTTTTAATCAGTGTAACATTTGCAATTGTGTGACTCTGCTCAAGAGCTAGATCCATACAATTTGTGCCATCCCGATATTGGGAGTCTAAATTGAATATTCTTTGGTTTGGGAAAACATTCAAAGTTTTCTCAATTTTGTTATGTCAAGTATTACAGCAGGGCCCAAATAGCAGAGCCACATGTTTTGTTTATGTGGGTATAAACTTTTAACCAAACTTCAGACTTAGGAGTTGTTTGGAGAAAGCCAGTATATGATATTTTAACCTACTACAATTGCTGAGAAAGGGGAAGGGAACCTTATGGTAAAGCAGGTAAAATATAGAAGCACCTTTTATCCCAGCTATGGCTTCTTCAATGGACCAAGCTGCAATGCAGTATTGATTTGACAGAGCCTCAATTTCAATGATGTCTGTCTCAAAATGGCTCCAAATGATTTCTGTACTGCAAAATAAAGCCAAACTCTGGAAACCTGTTTTTGGCATTGTCTATCCATGTCCTGCTTGTGAAGACCACAGCACAACTGCTGTACACTGGCTTTAGGAGCTAAGGGTATTAACGTGCTAGGTTGGGATGGCTTCATTATGAATAGTTACATTTTATTTTTATTTATAATTACCAGGCTCTTTGGTGATCTTAGTAATTTTCCTTCCTGAACCCCTTTCCTTTTGTGACCAAATGTTGGGCAATAAGCAACTTGTGTTATTCTCGTTTATTGAGTGTATAGTCCATAGCAGGGAAGGTATAGTGTAAGATCTTCATGCAGGTTACAACTCATCAGTATGTCAGGAAGCAAACACCAATAAGATTTTTGCTACCCTGGTGTCTTCTCATAACCTCAGCTCTCCTGCCCATGGTCAGAGCAAGTGTCTGCCACTCCAAGTTAATGCTTTTTTTTTCCTGCACCATGGAGTTCGGTGTCCTTGGCTTAAGGAAGCAAAGACCATGAATTACTAAAGGGCAAGCCTAGTGTTCAAGATTCTTCTTAAAGGTAACCTGGTGGGTGGCCTAAATCTTGCTAAGCATTACACACAGAGTGAATCACAGCATAAACAAACAACTGCATTTTAATTGTATTTATTTAAAAAAAAAACAACAACAACAAACAAAATTACCCCAAACTAGGTATAAAAGCCTTTGTTTCAAATAGATAGTATACAAATGTTCTTTTCTTGTTTGTATTTTAAAGACTTAAGAAATTTCTAATATCATAAATAAATGATTTCTTCCTCAGACTGATTTTTGTAGTGCAGCATTAAAAAAAAAAAAAAAAAAAACCGAGTAAGTGGAGAACAGTATAAATTTGTCACTTATGAAAAATTTTTTTTCTTTGTGTAGTGTTTATGTAACAAAACCATTACAGATTATACTTTCTACAATGTGGTAAAACTTTTGAAACATGCACTTCGTAAGCCTCTGACCACACACAAAAACAGCTATTTGTCAAAATAGACTTTGCTTTAGCTAAGTAAACATGTAAAGGTCTTGCCTTCAATGTTAAGCTCAATTAATAGTTTTGAAGGCATTATGTTTATATTGAAAATAATTTACAGCAATATTCAACACTATAACCCAAAGTTAATGGCAACTATGGTCCATGAAGAAACAAAAAACGAAACATGGATTTTTCAAATGAGATTGTTTGTATGTATTTGGAGTTTTTTAGACACAGGAGAATACTAATATTTTGTTGGTATCCTCCATGTCTAGTCTCAATTCCAAAGTCACCTGTAGGAACACAAAATTGGTAAGTCAAAACGGCGAATCATGAAATACAACTGGGACATTCATTATACTGTCTCCCATGTCAATCCAGGCTGGCTGCAAGTGACACCACTGGAGTAATTTAAAGCAGGTAGATTAATCTCATTTGTGATAATCACTGAAGTTGCTGGGACTTCTATTCATAGAACAGCAACTTTACAATGAATCCCATCTATGAATTTTAAGAACATCTATGAACACTTTCTTTCCTTCAGTGGCACTGTCTGCTGCCAATAACTCCAGCTTTTCTGGGAAATTTTGTAAAAAGTCTTACCAATAGCTACTCCTAAATGGAGCTGCTATCTTTTGTATATTTTCAGTGAAATAGTTTACATCTGTTACAAGGATTCCATTATTTTCAAAGACTTCTGTGGACACCGTGGGCTTGTCTGTAACAGATATTAAAGAAACAAACAAAATTATGTCAAAAAGGCCAGCATTTCCTATTATTTCATGGTAGTAGAATTTGTTAAAGGGAAAAGAAAAATTAAGACTAAGGGCAGTAGCACAGGGTGGAGGGAAGGGACATAACTGACAACTGTACTAATTTCAGTAAACCAGGCAGCCCAGCTAAAGCTCTCAGAAGATCTGATAAAGCAGGAAAGTAGATGTGTATGGCCTTATAACATTAAGTAGAAGGATATTAACTAAAGAAACAAAGGACACCTTGGCAATATCTTCTGGACTCACTGCGCATTTGTGAAAACACATGCTGCACTATCAGCTAAAAGTGCTACCCACATGTATCTAAGGCATTCAATAACTACTTAGGAAGGATATTTCTACAGCTGTCTTGTTTTGGCATTAGCTGAGTAATGAAGATTAGAATGCAGATTATATTTACCTGTTAAGAAGACAGCAAACCTGGCACTGGCATGTTGAATTTGCAGGTTTACCAAGCATTTTAAAATTTCAGCTTTTGTAGGTGATGGAGAGTCACAGTTGTGATAATGAAGCAATTCAATGATATTTACACTCTGATATGATTTCAGAATTAAGTTCTTTTTATGTGCAATTGAATCTACCCTAGAATATACAAAGAAATGTTAGTAACTTTTCTTGGTTGCATAAAATTTTGTTTTAAATTGCGTATCTGTGGGTGAGAAGGTACATGTGTGAGTGCAGGTGCTCTATAAGTCCAGAAGAAGGTGTCTGATCCCCTGGATCTGGAGTTAACAGGAGTTTGAGCCACCAATGTAGGTGCTGGGAACTGAACTTGGGTCATCTCTTTTAACTGTGGCATCTCTAGCTCTCTTTGCCTTCATTTTAACTAGTTGTGTTAAAACACTTGGTCAAAGAACCTGTTCTTTTTTCATGACACAGTGGCCAACATGTATGTATGGTGATTAGTTGCCTCAAAATATTACATCGATGACACCTTTGATAATACAGACTGTAGCTGAGCATGGTAGTGTACACCTTTAGCCCCAGCACTCTGGAAGGCAGAAGCAGGCAGATCTCTGAGCTCAAGGTCAGCCTGGTCTACAGAGAGAAATCCTGTTTCTTGAAAAACAAAAACAAACAAAAAAAGACTAACCTTGGGGCCCCACTCCAAGGTAGAGACAGAACCCATGTAGCTACTGCCACTTTAACCATATATGGTGACAGCTAAAGGTCCTTCAAAGTTCTTAGGCCATCACATAACTGCTTTCTCACTGGTCTTAGTGGGCTTTTGCACTAATTATATGTAAACCAACAAATCTTTCTTAGAAATTGGGGAAAGAATGTTTTGCTCTATTTGGCTCTGTTTGGCCTTCACCTTGAGACTTCCCTCTGCTCTTGCCCTTAGTGTTGAGATTACATTGTATGTTGCCATGCCTGATAGCAATAGGTCTAACTTGAATTTCAGACATAAGTCTGAAACTTATCACATAAGCCAGAATTTTAATTTTAAATTAAAGTAATCTTTACTTATCCTATTTTCTACCTCCTAGAGGAAAGTCTGTCTTTAGCTCTTTAAATTTACTTGTCTATAGGCATGTGCTGATAGCACTGTTCACTTTCCCTACCTTGTTAGTAAACCTTATTCTGTTAGCTCCCGTTAAAAAGGAAGAGCCTGAAATTTATTCTGTATGCATCTCCATGTTAGTGTTAATGTAAGTGTACACAAGTTTACAGGTAACCAAAGAGACAAGAACAGGGCACTTCTGGATCTGCTGAGCCTGGAGTTATCCAGTATAGATGCTAAGCTAACATGCAAACTCTTGATGGAGCAGGAAGTGCTGTAAACTGCTGAGCAATCTCTCACAGTTCCTGTTTATTTCTTATTATATGAAGAAAACAGTGTTGAAAGTACTCAATAGTTTAGTGCTCAAAGTTGGAATGGATGTTTAGCTTCAAAAATAACTAGTACTTTGCTCATGGTTATGTTTGTTCTCTGGTTATTACTGTGTCTCTCCTTGGTTTGAAGTGTGAATGCAACTGTTCCATGTAAAGCATCTTTTAGTGCCTTTTAAAGAATGTCTTGTCTGTTTTATCCTTTCTCAATATACTGAGTCTTTTAAGTTCCTTCTCTACCTTTCTTTCTGTTCTCAGATGAGAATGGGCAAAATTCTCACAGGCTCCAGGTCTCTTGAGCCAAATAAAACTGATTTTCTTTTTAAAAAGATCACTGTGTTGATGCTAGGGATGTGGTGTAGTCAGTAAGGAACCTGCTGGGCAAGCATGAGGCCTGAATATAGAACCCAGCATCCACAGAAAAACCAAGTGTCATGGCATGGTCCTGTAACTCCAATACTGAGACTAAAGACAGGCTCACTGGCCAGCCAACCAGCCTATTCTAATCAATGAGTTCCAGGTTAAATGAGAACTCTTAAAATAAGGAAGGGGGCAGTGACAGAAGACACCTGATGTAGACTGCCACAAGTGTGCAACCCACACACACACATACATATACCACATACACAAATCACTATTTTAGATTATGGAAACTTACCTCCTGTTTAAATTCGATACCCTGACAACTCAATATATAAATAAGTATCCAAAAATGCACTAGAACCAAGCTCACAGTTTACCATATTTCTGCAGCTTATATAGCAGCAGAGCCTGACTTAACTGTGGATGTTTTTGATCCTGACTCATAATGTTGCTGTAAATACTCCCTTTCACTAATTGTCTTACTATAAAAACCAAAGCTAACCAGCAGAATAATCTTATGAAGTAATGTGATTATCGTTCTGACACTGTTTTGTGACTATGGTGCTTGAGTTATATATATAGCCCATAGAACACTGGGACTAGTACCACATGAACTTACCTGACATCTTCTTTGAGCTTTTTATTTTCTCTGTAGTGAAGTAGCCACTTCCATCTTCCATTTTCATTTAGTTTTTCTAGGATTTTGAGAATTTCCTTCAGTTGAACTGTGGAATAAGTTCAGCAAGAGAAATTTATCTTAGTTTTTGTTGTTCATGCAAGGTCCATTACTTGTCACTTATGAACAACCAGACCCATGTCTCTACCTCTTAGATGGCTGGGAAGCACGCACTCTCATAAAGTCATATGTTTCTGTGTAGGGGCAAGAGCATGATAGTCACCTGCAGCTAAACCTGAGCCAGTCACATGACAGAAGAGAAGCAAAAGCAAGCCCACTATGGTAGAAAGTTACACAGATACTTTTATTAACCTAGTTTCCATGAAGAATTCATGTTTAAGAAGGCAGACTGATTCAGAAATGGTATTCAACTTGTTCTGATGTGAAGGCAGGTT